GGAGGAAGAATGAGAAAGTGGTTAAGAAGGTTAAGAGCATTGAGTGAGAAGTATTGAAGGCCTAAAAGGGATGGTGGTGATAGAAATGGAAAGAGAAATTCTATAGGTAGAAGAAGCTTTGTAATTTGGCATTTGGTTAGATGGATAGAGGAAGCAAGCTTTTTGGCCTTTGTGGGAACAGGAGAATGGTGAGCACATTAAAAGAAATAGAAAAGAGGTGGAAGAGATATTTTGGCTTTGGTTGTATTGGGTTGAGTGAAATGCTGACAGGATAACTAGGTAGAGGAGTCGAACAGCCTATTGAAAAGTATATGTGTGTGGGACATTAGATATTAGAGATGATAGTGTTTTGGTTCCTAGTTACAAATGCGTAGTACTTTATATCTAAAACCCAGCAAGAGGGTTTCAGCCTTTGTTGTCTGTTTGTAGGTCATTCAGCAGCATTCAGCACTTTGGTAGGCCCTTTATAGAACACAAAAGAAGAAGGTTTTATTTTTTTATTTAAATATCTATAATATTCAATAATGGTCCACATGTTGACAAGCTTATTTCTTCTGTCTTCCCTAATAAATTCCTTAATATCATTTGATGCCCAGTCTATGTTCAGACTTATCTGATGATCTAAAAAAGTCTTTTTACAGATTTTCTTGATTAAAAAGTCATTGCATTTAGTTGATAACTATCACAAGTCTCTTTTAACCCGCCCTCCCCAATTTATGCTATTTATTTGAAGAAACTGGGTGACATGACCTAGAGATTTTTTCATCTTCTGGGTTTGGCTGATTGCATCTTTTAGGTGTCATTTAAATTATTTCTTTGCTCCCTATATGTCCTGTAAACTGGTAGCTAGATTTGAGGTTTAATTCTATTCAGTTTTTCTTTAAGGGGTGTCGGGGAAGAGGGAGAATCCCCCTCCACCCTTTCCCTTAATGTTCTTATGGCTGGCCAAATAATTAAAGGATAGGTTAGCAGAAGAAAATAATACCAAGTTTAATAACATGTATACATGGGAGAAACCAGGGAAACTGAGTTTCTCAACACAATCCAGAGATTCTCATCTTAAATACCATCTTCAGCTAAAGACAAAGGAGGATGTTGGGGGTGGGGAGGGAGACAGAAATCACGGTAATCAAGGGTATGTAGATTTAAGGCCTTATCCTCCACACTGATAAGTTTCTAGAGAGGCCATCCCCACTTCCCCCCAGAGAGGGAGATACCTTTACAAATGGAGATTTCCCTTATAAATGTAAATGTTTGTCTGGCAACTCCTTGCAGGGCCACCTAGAGAATGTGGGCCGGAAGAGACAGAATTTTGATAAGAGGGGCTTGTTGGTACCTTTCCTATTGTAACATCTATTTTACATTATATAACAGCCATCAGATGACAGTAACTCCTTCCTGGAACAGGTCTTCTATATTAAATTCTTTAGGCAGTTTGGGGGAGGTCAAATGTCCATCAGAGAAAATAATCAAGGTAAAGAGAGATATTTCAGGGTGGCCAATTTTTATCTCCCACAGGGGATAGAATAAGAATACTTACTAGATGGTGCTGTGTATTTCCTGTTGTAGCACATCAGGAGGCACAGACCACCTACGTGTCCCACTTTTAGTAAGTTAAGATTGGTCATATTTGGGTCAGATGTTGTCAGCCTAATCCATACGATATGATGTTCCCACATCAACCAACCTTTCATCTAAGGCTTTTTTAGTAGCTAGTGATGATTGTTGCAGAGAGCCTTTATACCAGTAGGACTGGAAAATGGTGACAGGGTAATTCTGTCCTTTCTTCTACATTATTAGCTGGAATTTTTCTGTAAAGAAGAATTTGCCATTATCGACTATCTGGAGTATAGTTTATACAGGATATACAAACTGGATGTATGCTTAATTCTTTTGTTTTATTTGCCAGTTTTCAGAATAATGAGGTTTTTAAAAGTATCATTATGAACTCATGAATTTATGTATTTGATATTTTTCAATCTATTTGCAGTATGTATGTGTTTTTATGCTCTAATTATCTCATCTTTGGCCAGTGGGAATCCCTTCCAGTTGGCATCTGTGTCCTTTTGCCATCACCCCATTCATCTTTGATATACGTTTTTTGTGTGTGTGTGAGGAAGATCAGCCCTGAGCTAACATCTACCAGTCCTCCTCTTTTTGCTGAGGAAGACTGGCCCTGGGCTAACATCCATGCCCGTCTTCCTCCACTTTATATGGGACACCACCACAGCGTGACTTGACGAGTGGTGTGTTAGGTGCGCGCCCGGGATCCGAACGCCGGGCTGCCGCAGCGGAGCACGAGCACTTAACCGCTACGCCACCGGGCCCGCCCCGTCTTTGATAGATTCTTTTGCTTGTGGTCACACTAAAATGTCCCAGGATCATTTTGAAATTTCTTGCCCAGACTTGGAATTTTTTCAGGGAACCCAGGTTCAAAGAGATTTTTGAAGGAAAAGGATTTTCAGTTTGAGAAACTATTAAAGAATAATACAAGAGAGGGTGCAGTCATGTGGTGACTCTCAGCGGTGTTCTCATAATGTGTTTGGGGCTGTAAGTACTATAGGAAATACCAGTGATTCCTGGGATGTTTGAGTAGTCATTTTGAAAGAGGTAAGAGTGGAACTGGGCCATCAAATAGAGGAGAAAATGAAAATTCATATGCCCATTATAGGGGAGAAATTATTAGGAGGTGTGGAAGAACATGTGTGGGATAGTAAAGGAGCTTGACTGGAACAGAGTACCTTGACTTTGGTCTTGATCTTGTGAACACTGAGGGATAAGAGAAGGTTCTTGAGTCTGGAAGTGAAATTGAAAGTCATGCTTTAGAAAGGTTAATATTGCAGCAGGGTTCACAGTTGCATAAAGCAGGGTTCTCAGCTGGAGATTTGCAACAAAATCTTTGGAAAATGGAAAAAAGAACCCCATACCTGGGGTCTATTTCAAAACCATTGAATACCAAGCTGGGGGAGTCTAGGCTCATTTGCTTTTCAGAAGACCCCTATGTGGTTTCTTTTGTGCAACTGTATTTAAGGACTATTGGATTAAAACTAAAAGCTCAAGGATCAGTTTCACTATTGCAAGTATGCTAGGCATGAAGTAGTAAGGACAGGGATTAGGGTAATAGTATTGGGAATAAGAGGAAGGAAGGGATAGAAAAATGCAAATTTGTTTCAAAAGTTTTCATATAGTATTTCATTAATAATGTTAAAACTAATAAAAGGATTCAAAGATAAAGAAACAAAGATGACACCAAGATTTAAGGTATGGGGCCACGTAGAAAGGGAAGATTGGCATAGATTGCTAGTTTGGAGAAGATAATGGGACATGTTGAATGTTGAGATAATGGCTGTATATCAAAGTGAACCCTGGGGGGTTGAAATGTGTTCTCTGTCTTGCTTTTTCTGAATGCTACATTCACTCTCTTTTGGCAAAGTACTCAACCTAGTGACTACAGGTCATACAATATTGATTGGGACAGTTAATAACTCTAAGCTTTCATTTGATAAATGTGATCACAATAAATATTTGATATATTTAAAAAAGAACAATCTGTTTAATATAAAATAAAATGGAAAACAGACTGGAACAAACACAGCAGCAAATATAAAAAGATGAGTATCAATAAATATTATAATTATTTGAAACAAAAAAATGGTAAACCAGGCAAAGGACTTGAACAGATAATTCTCACAACTGGGAAATATAATTCATTAACTCATTCCTTCAACAGTCGTATACTGAGCTCTTGCATCAGGTGCTGTTCTAAGTGCTAGCAAACAAGATCTCTGAGCATCCTGTTGTTGTGAGAGACTGACAGTAGACATGTTCCAAAAAACAAGAATTTCAAATAGTGGTGGTGCTATTAAGAAACTAAAATAGGGTAATGAGGTAGAGAGTGGCTTTTTGGGTTTTATTTATTTAGTTAATTAATTATTTAGATATTTAATTATTTAGATATTTACTTAGTTATTTATTCCTTTTCCTGTGGAAAGCGTTAGTAGTTCTGTAGCTGGAGGTTAGCATTCCTAATCTCTACTTAATTATGTGGAAAAAAATTGGTAGAATTTAAGTTCTGTTGGGGTTCCCTGGTAATTGGACTCATAAGTATTTTTCTTCTTTAGTTTTTTCTTTTGTTTGGTTCTTCTTGAAGATGTTGATATAATGGATAGAGTACAGATTGAGATTTGTTGTTTCTTATGGAAATTACTGATGTGGGTTCTTTTCAACAGAACAGTGTTTGTTTTGTTCTGTTGGGAGGGAAACTATTCCTCTGAAAAATGTTAACATTTCTTCCTCTGGCTTCATTCAGTAGTGTAATCTAGTGATTTGATTCTGCTGTGAGCCAGTGGCACATCAGAGGATAGAACCTGAGTCTCTTGGAACCTTCTCTGCTTGTTGTACAGGATGGTTTTGAGGTCACATGAGATACATATGAAAGGGTTCATCAAAGTTAAAGGAACCCCTGGATACTTAGAAGTTAAAGGAGCTAGCTAGAGCTTATCTTTGTCCTTTGCTGTTTAATTATATATCACGTAACTGAATGTTTCAAGCTGTAATTAAAGAATAGAAGGTTCAGAAGTTTCTTTAAAGAAAAGTAATAAGTCAAAGTAGCAAGTCGTTTTACAGATAGGAAGTTACTTGTGTAAGGAGCTCTCTTTAACAAATAAACATTTTGTGTTTTTCGTGTATTACTCAAGATTGATCAGGGAAAACAGAGCAAGAAAGATGCATGTTACTTTGCAGTTATGTTTTTATTATTAAGTGTAGGGACTTTTTAGGTATGATAAAGAGATAGTGGAATAGGAAAACAAATTTCAGCCTTTAATTTCTATTTGGTAATTTACTGTTGAGAATATGAGATTTATGGGGAAGAAAAGGGATGAGGTTTTTGGAAATGGAAACAAAAATAGTACTAAGATATAAGATAATAGCTCTTAGCTCAAGTTAGCCCATGCGTTCTTTAATTATGACTACCCTGTATGGAATTTTTTTCTTTTTAAAGGAAACTTGAATATAACTTCAAAAGAAGATTTGATTCTTTCTTTCTGGACTGCATATATATAACAAGACCATCAGAATGTCGGGAGCCTCAGTGAAGGTGGCTGTCCGTGTGCGGCCCTTCAATTCTCGAGAGACCAGCAAAGAGTCCAAGTGCATCATTCAGATGCAAGGCAACTCGACAAGTGAGTATATTGTTTTGTATCTATTATATCTCACCTTCCTGTCCTTCTTTTTCCTTCTTGCTGTGATCAGAATAAATGAACATCTGGATATTAACGATTTGAACTTTGCTATTCTGAGTGATCCATTGAATGCTTTCCCCCTGTGATATTTGCTGTAGCATATTGAAATATGGACTGTTTATTTTGTTCTTCGCAGTTGAGAAATCCCTGGAGAACTGAACTAATTTTTTAGCTAGTGTTAAGTTGAAATCTTAATGATAATAAAGGTGTAAGCAGTGATTTTTACTAAATGATGACATGAAATGTACCTGTTGAGGCTCCAAGATGATTTTTCTTTCTTGATTTTAAATAGCGCTTGAGCTTGCCAAGATGGTGTTAACACTTACTCTTCTTCCTTACAATGGTTCTTTGAATTGAACAACAGATATCGCTATAGTAGGTAGTAAACTTATAAATTATTACTAAAATTAGCAGTTCTAATTGTTTCCTAGCTTGTTTCTCTATATAATTACTTAGGTGAAAAATGACTTAAACTGGTTTCCTTTGTGTTTGCATGAATAATTACTTGAAATGGATCTGTAGGCAAATTAATACTTAAAATAGTGGTAGGTTCTACCATTTTGAAACCTATAACTTTGTGATAAAGCAGAATCCTCACTCTTTCAGACTCAAGTTAATGCTGAATTGTTAGGTAAACCATTCTGATCTCATCTATTTGTGGGCCATTTGCCAGTGTTCTGTGTAGAGGATTCTACCAGTGGGAGATAAAATTATATATTTAAGGTGCACAATGTGATGTTTTGATATATGTATATATTGTGAAGTGATTACCACAATCAAACTAATTAACATATTCATCACCTCTCAGTTACCATTTTTTTGTGTGTGGTAAGAACACTTGACATCTCCTCTCAGCAGATTTTCAGTAAACGTTACTATTAACTATAGTCACCATGCTTTACATTAGGTCTCTAGGTCATTAGGACTCATCTTATAACTGAAAATTTGTACCTTTTGATCAATATCTCCCCTTGTCCTCTACCCCCCAGCGTCTGGTAATCACCCTTCTATTCTCTGTTACTATGAGTTCGACATTTTTTTTTTTTTTCAGATTCCTCACATACAACTTTGAACTTTCTGTTGCTTATACATTTCTCTGAACTTGGTAAATAGGAGTTGCAACAATCTATTTTTTTAAAAAAGATTCAAAAGTAGGAGTCTAAACTGCTGTACCATTGTATTTTACGTTTCTCTGTCGGTTATGCCAGTGATAACTATGAATTATATCCTATGAATAACTGTAAAAGAAAAAGGGCTAGCAAACTGAAGAAGAAAATAATATTCCTAGTTGAACTCCTTTTGCGAATAGGGCCATAAAGTTTGGAGTTTGTGAAGATATAAGTTCTGTTTATCTGTTCTTGCTTATCTCTCACAAAAATCTCTCCAGAATTATTGAAAATATTGCTGTGTCTTTTGATGAAATAGAAATGCCTGTTTTTTATTAAAAGTAGTAATTTCAGGGGCCGACCCGGTGGTGTAGTGGTTGGGTTTGCGCGCTCCCCTTTGGCGGCCCTGGTTTCTCCGGTTCGGATCCTGGGCGCGGACCTGCATACCGCTCATCAAGCCATGCTGAGACGGTGTCCCATATAGAGCAACTAGAAGGATGTACAACTATGACATACAACTATCTACTGGGGATTTGGGGAGGAAAAAATGAGGAAGATTGGCAACAAATGTTAGCTCAGGGCCAATCTTCTTCTTCTCCAAAAAAAAAGTAGTAATTTTGTTAGACTAGGCCTGGGTATATTGTACTAGTCCTGTGAAAACCAGTCTGTGGACCACCTTAAACTCAGTGCTGAACTACCAGTGGTTTTTCTATCACATTTTGTCCAAAACCTTTCTGGATAACAGGCTGAGTGGCTCTGCTGTGCCTTGTCCTTCCTTTCTTTCCCTTCCTCTTTTGAGAGTCTGCTGTAATGTGAGTCTGTAGGGATCACAGTTGTGTATGTACCATAGGAGTTTTTAAAGTTTGTGGTAGGAGAGACAAGACATACTAAAATAACCTCAATACACTTAAAGTAAAAGTGATCAAAGTGATAATTGCCATAAAAAGGGTTTTTAAAAAGTGCAGATGTGAGTTTGGCAAAGGGCACATGTAAGATTCATCGATGATAGGGCATTTCAGCTGGACTTTGAGGAATAAATAGGATTTAAACTAAACATCCAGTATTTTGGGGGACAATTTCAGAATTATAGCTTATTAGAACTTATTAGTGTTATGACTGGATATTGGTACTCCTGACCCTCATCCGGCCATGATACATTGCCTCTCTGCATATAGATATTCAGCAGGAGAAATATGTGACTTTTAAATTAACATTAGGCTACTGAAACAAAAATCCTCATTAGATGAATCAGCCTCGGAAAAAGTAGGGTTAGTTTTATAGCTACTTTGTCATGGCTCAGAGGGTTTGGGATAGTTTTGATTCCTTTGAAAGGTGTTTGTTCTTGGAAAGCTAATTATCTAATTATATGAGAGACTTTTTCGTCTAGAATTTTTGGCATTTTTGTAATGTTTTCTATTTGTTTTCTATTTTGTATGGCAATTTCTTAGTAATTTGACTAATATGTAATTCAAATAATTTTTTAGTGAGAGATTTTAAGTCAACTGCTTGCTATGTTTAGAAAGTATTAATGGCTTGTTTTTAAAAAAAAACCATTGGGCTTAAGATTGGGAGAGAGCATGTATTTTGAGCCTAGAACTGTTTCAGAAAATGAAATGAATTTGCTAAAGCCACATGTGTTAGCTACATTAAAAGACTGCTCAGCTGGCAAGCTGGCCTGGACTGCTGCTCACAGGGAATTATAACTGATTGCAGATGGAATGCAGTGGCATGTTCCTGCCATAAGGTCTCTTCTGAAAAAGTAGAAGAGGGTGAAGAGTACTTTAGGGAATGTGCCAAATCTGAAACTAAATAGTAGCCATTTTATTTAAGCACTTTCTGGTCTTGGAGGGAATATGTTCCATGGCACAGATAAATGTTACTGCCTTGGAGGGAATATGTTCCATGGCACAGATAAATGTTACTGCCAGACCTGAGTGCATACAGATGGCTTTGTTTAATAATATCCCATTATCTTTCAAGTTTCTTCCACTTTGGAAGCATTTATTGTCTGATTACTTTTAGAAAGGAAAGTGGCGCAAAATTAATGCTCTAACTGCTCACATTTATGGTTAGGTTACATATGTAAATCTGGAGACTTCAAAACTGCCTAAATTCCTTCTGAAAAACAGGAGATAGATAAAGCTAGTTCTCAGACACTCCTTCAGGTGATGAAATTCTGATTGTTTGTTTTGTCTTCAACCGCAGGAATCTTGTCTCTAGCCCTTTGCTAAGTCTCCTTTGTATATTTATCATTCTTCCTTTGAGCAGGGTATTTTTTTTTCCAGTGCCCAAGTCTTAGTGGGACAGAAGGAACCCTCTTTTGTTTTTGTTTTTTCCTGTTAATTGCTTACATTGTACGTTTTTAAAGGCTTTTTCATTCACACATGTGCATTTCTAAACCAAATGCTGCACAGCACAACTGATACAAAGAATGACTTCAGGTCCATTAATGAAAATTTGGGATGGAGAAAGGGCAGGGACAAAATAGAGGTTTGGAAAGGAAGACTTTTGAAAGGAATTCTTTTAATCTGTATGCTTTTTCTAGCATAAATTAATATAACCACATGAAAATAAATGTAAATGCATATAAGTTATCTTTATGAACATTCTGGAAAATAAAGAAGAGGCAAAGAAAACTCATCTCTATTCTTACCTCCTTACCACAGCCTATTGCTGCATTTTTGATGGATTATTGTTGTTGTTGTTCCAAGTAGGTTAAATAGTTAGAGTCTTTATGTAGTTTCGTACTTTAGTCTTTTCTTGTTAGTCTTTAGTTTTTTTCTCTTCAGTATTCCCTAATTCTCACTTGCATTTTAGTCTGGATTTCTTTCCTTGTGGTCTATGTATAGACTTCTGAGTGTCTGTCTAGTTGGGAACCCCTTGAAATGTGTTTTATGAGTTTTCCTAGGGAGGGGTAATCACTTTCAATATATTTTTAGTGAGATCTATGTCCCCCCAAAAGAGTTAAGAAGCACTAGCCTAGACTCAGAATAAGGTCTCCTTAAGTCTTTTCTAGAATAAGGTAGGACATAATTAGTTAGATCAGACTAAAGTGTAAACTCCATAACAGCATCCAAAGTGCTTCATGGTGTAGCTGGAGAAGTAGGATAAGGCCAGCTCTTCAGCTGCTACTTCTCTACCTCCACACCAGGTGCTCTAACCTTAGAGATGGAATGTCCAGTCCTTTTGTTTTTTTGGTGAGGAAGATTGGCCCTGAGCTAACATCTGTTGCCAATCCTCTTTTTTTTTTTTTTTTTTTTTGCTGAGGAAGATTGGCCCTGGGATGACATCTGTGCCCATCTTCCTCCACTTTATATGTGGGATGCCGCCACAGCATGGCTTGATAAGTGGTAGGTCTGTGTGTGGGATCTGAACCCCGTGAACCCTGGGCTGCAGAAGCGGAGCCTGCGAACTTAACCACTGTGCCACTGGGCCGGCCCCCATCTAGTTCTTTTTTACCTACCCTTTGTCAGGATTCATTCTGTCAACTGCGTATCTCACCCACGCCCAATCATGTATCTCTGTAGAACCTCTACCAGTATATTGCATTTCACTGAGAGTCACTAAAATTGCTGAAGATTTGGGCATTTAAACTCCTAACAGCACTATTTTTTCTTAGAGCAAAAAATTGGGAACAAACCTAGTATCCATCAGCAGGGGAATGGATAAATAAATCATGGTACATTTATGTAATAGATTTTATTTATTTATTTTTTTCCCCCAAAGCCCCAGTAGATAGTTGTATGTCATAGCTGCATATCCTTCTAGTTGCTATATGTGGGACGCGGCCTCAGCATGGTCGGAGAAGCGGTGCGTCGGTGTGTGCCCGGGATC